ATTATTTTCTACCATAGCCAAAGAAGAGCCTGCTAGTACAGGCCCGACGCTAGCCGCATCATCTACAAAAGTAGAGAGCTAGCAACGTCGGCAGTATATATTGTCACAGAATATCAGAGCGCCTAAGCGAAAAAATAAAAAAAACAAAAAAATCTTAAATTCGTTTTTAATCTTCTTCCTTACAACTCCCCCTGTTCAGAACCTCTTTGCGTACAAGGCCGCCCACGGGGATGTAGGTTGAGCGGCGGCTGCCCCCACCCCCGTGTGTCATATCGACCCACTTGCACACTGCCAAAAGGCAATGAGGCAAAGAAGAGAGGAAGGGAACAGCCAAATGAAACGAATAGAACAGAGGGAAACAAGACAGATCCCAGATGACAAGTCCCACATGCAAGCACTATGTTTTTTTCTTTAATGGACCATTTCTCGATTTATGCGTGTCATCCTTGCGCAGGGGCCGTTTGCTAATCTACCCTAACGGATGTCCCGAAGGACGAGTGCCAAATATTTCAAAGTTGCACGTGTACCGGTCTACTGGCGGGCGCGTCAGCTCTTCCTGGGCCTCTATTGTTCACCGTACCTGGTCGGCATTCCCCCTTTCTTTTTTTTTTTTTCTTTTTTTTTTTTTCCAATCATCGGGGACAGGCGACTACCGGGGCCTCGGCCCACATGCCAGCGAATAGTATAGTTTACTAGTCCGTGTGACGGTGTGGGACTGTTAGGAACTGTCTATTGTATTTTCAAAGGACGGTGGGATTATGCATGCCGCCATTTAGGGCAGGGAGCCGTAAGGCTCTGTTTTGTCATTGGTTTTTAGTTGCTTTAGGGGTCCCGTGTGGAATGGAGGGAGAGGGAATACGGTGTAGAATACTACCCTCTTCCAAAGTGTGTAGAATACTATTCGTTTTTTGCCGCCTCGTACAGCGAGTCTCACGGCTACTCTCCTCCGTAGAATACTATTCGTTTTTGCTGCCTCCTACAGCGAGTCTCACGGCTACTTCTCCTCACCTACAGAGGGCCTCGCTGCACTACTCTTCAAATGTGCAAAAAGAGAGTGAATCTTCTGCTAGAATATGGACAGATACACCGCCATTATTTTTGTTTTTTGTGCATTTCAAGAGCAGTGCAGCCAGGCCCAGAGAGAAGAGGTTAGTATACTACACCGTATTGCCTCTCCCTCCATTCCACATCGTAGTATACTACACCTTATTGTATGCACAAAGAGAGAAGAGGTTAGTATACTACACCGTATTGTAGAGAGGCAATACTAACCTCTTCCTTTTTTGCCGCCTCACTCGGCTGTTCTGTGGACATACACAAAGGACAAATATCATGGTAAGTCTCATGGCCTAGCTGCACTACTCTCCAAATGTGCAAAATGAGACTGAATCCACCACCACAACATGGAAAGATACATTGGCATTTTTTTAATTTTTTTTTTACGTTAAGCTATATTCTTCTCTCATCTATCTCAGTTTTTTTTTTTTTTTTTTTAATATCTCAGTTTTCTTGGTAGTACGCATCTATCTCATCCTCTCACTATTGGCATTTTTTTTTTCCCACTAGTACCTCCGAGCCTGTTATTTCGTACCCTGAATTTCACTGCGCCGAACCTGGGCCCCACTCCATTCTCTTTATGGTACTCTCACAGGGAAAAAAAAAAAAAAGGAACAAGAAAGTTGCGGCCATGAAACTCACAAAACAAAAAAAAAAAAACAAAGGAGAGAGCTTGACTCACGTCGTGATTGCAGTTGTGTACATTCTTGGAAGTGGTAGTGTGAGTGTGCCCTCAGTGAGGGCATCTCAGCCTCGTGACCAGATTGTCAGATTCCAGAAACCAAAAACAAAAAAAAAAATGGAAACATGGATTGGGCCATGAAAATGGCTGGATACATTCCTCTAAGTGCCATTGTGATCACGGTTACAATCCTCTGATCACAGATTCCGCTGTCAGATTCCAGAAAGAGTGAGGAAAACAAAAAAAAGGGAACACCGATTCGGCCCTGAAAATGGCTGGATACATTTCTGTAAGTGCCAGTGCGATGAGGCTTACAATCCTCTGAGGAAACGCACAAAGGGCCTCGCCTCACTACTATGGTTTCCCGCCTTCTACTGTCACACAGACTAGTAAACTATACTATTCGATGGCATGTGGGTCGAGGCCCCCGGGCAGGCTGTAGGAGAGCCTGCTCGGTTGGGGCCTGCACAGTTCGATGGCTCCAATCTATTGGTGGGGAGCGTCACCTATTGGAAAACGGGTCCCCAAAAAAAAAACAAAACAAAAAAAAACGGGTCCAACGTCCCCATCTCTCAAATAACAATTCTCAATAAGGATCCATGACAACAGAACAGACTCGATAGACCTCTTTTCACCACGTAGGCGCCAGAAATAACTTGATCTCCTGGTCTACGAGTCATCCCATAATCCCATAACCGGTGAGGTACACGCAAGATGTGACATTCTACTAGAGACCAGGAAGATGATGGCATGAGCAGGTACTACTATCAAATGGAATGATTCTGAATTCTGCCAAGTTACGGGGGCCTGGGCCCCATCAGCCATGGTTCAATGATGATGCCTGCATCCTTGGTCCTGATCATTCTGACATTCTGTCCCCATGTCCTGAAGAAACGGTCTCTGGCTGCTCTTTTGTTCAAGGCACATCTGGCTCTCCTCCAGTCTACCCAAATCAGGGATCGTATCCCATCCAGCACCATGTTCATGATACTGAGATCCGAATAGAACCTGGAGCGGAAGACCCCATCGTTCCGGATTTTCCATATAACCTGCATGATGGCCGCTCTGCAAGCCTGGGCCACGTACACCCAGCCCCTACTGACTTCCTCTGCATTCTGCAGAATACCTTCAACCACGAAAGCCTCCTCCCACTGCACCCGATGCTCCACGTGCCTCTGCCATAGCTTTGCCCACCACACCCAGATCCTCTTGGACTCAATACAACCCCACCATAAGTGCTTGGCTGATTCTTCCAATTTCCGGCATCTCAGACAAGTACTATCCAACGGTAACCTATTCAGCGATAGCCATTTAGCTGTGGGCACAATCCTATGAGACTGAAGCCAAGCCAGACTTCTCAGCTTGGCGGACGGGATCTGTTTCAGATTGTGCCACAGTTTCCTAAGTTTAGCAGAGTTGATTCTCCCAATCGAGGTTGATCTCTGTGCGGTCTCCATCTGCCAGCAATTGCAGAAGACTCGCACATCAGTGATCCGGTCCCGGCTCTTCCGGCCCCGGCGACTCTCCCCCGGACCCGACGTTTCTCCTTACTAGTGTACATGGGGTACCATTCGGCACCGGACTATCTTGTTGCTAATCTGCATATATCCAAAACATGGTTGTGGCTGATTCCCTTTGAGGAAACCTTGGGTTTGAAGTCTTTTGATGTATTTAGCGGTATCCGCAAAGACAGTCAAATTCTTACACGCTTTCGCGCCTTCGTGGGATTCAGACGCGAAGCGTCGGCTCTTCGAGCCGTAAGGTTGCCACCGCACCTCTACTACTAACAGAATCACAGGTTTCTACTACCATTTTCCATCTACCCGTTAAGACCTATTAGTGTACATCCCTATTCACTATACTAGAAACAGGGTACAATTCCTCCTAATTATAATGTACATCTGGGTCCTGCCTGCCTATTCGGTACCCAACTAACCTGTTGCTAATTTCTCGGTCTCTACTCCCCGCCTCTCCTTCTCATCTTATTACTGACAGAACCGCGGGTTCCCATTACCATTTCTTCATCTGCCCCGTTCAGACTGAGTAGTACACAGCCCTACTCTCTTTAATAAAAATAGGATGCTATTATTCCCTACAATCATAATGTACATCGGGGTCCTGCTCATCAGAGCCTGGGGACCTGGTCTAGCCCGATCTTCTACCCCTAGAGCCCTGTTCCGGCTCTACTACAGTCCTACCCACCTCTTCGTAACCCTTACCTCACCCTATCTCCAACCTGTCACCCCTTTATAATCTCTTCCTAGCTGTCCGCTCCTGTTGTCTTTCCTGTTTATGGCGGACCAATTGTCCGGTCAGCGTCTTCAACGCTGCTCCGAACAAACCGGTGGCTCTGGCAAACATCGCCAGAGCATTGCAGAAGAAGAAGAAGAAGGAGAAGAAGGAGAAGGAGAAGAAGAAGAAGGAGAAGAAGAAGAAGGAGAAGAAGAAGAAGAAGGAGACGAAGAAGAAGAAGGAGAAGAAGGAGAAGGAGAAGAAGGGGAAGAAGAAGAAGGGAGGAGGAGGAGGAGGAGGAGGAGGAGGTGTGGAGAAGAGAAAGGAGTTGTGGAGAAGGAGGAGGGGAGGGGGGTCGTGAGCGTTGTGACTCGTGGTGGGTACGTCGGGATTGGAGTAGCGTGGCAGTAGCACAAAAAAGTGATAAAGTTCATTGTGCCACGTGGCCATCTTCTGGCCACGTGGCCAGAAGATGGGGATCGCAATTGGGAAAGATGAGAAAGAGGGAGAAGAGGAAGCATAATGCCACGTGGCAGGAAGATGGGGATCGCAGTTGGAGAAGGGAAGGAGGAGAGACGAGAGAGAAAAGGAGTAGCTGGTGTTGAGGCTGTTGCACTGCGACGTGGAAAGCGCACGTCACACAACGTCTGGCAGCTACGTCGGGATCGGGTTAGTAGTAATAGAGGACGAAGAAGGAATAAAAAAGACAAGGAGAAAGAGGATGAAGAGGAGGGGGAGTAGAAGAAATCACGCCTCTAGTAGTGGGACGTTAAGTCTAACAGTCTCTCTCCTTCTTCCCCCTTCTCCTCACCCTTTGATGTCTTCTTGACTCTGTTATCTCTTTCATTCATTCAAGAATGTACTTTTCCTGGATCACCGAAGTTAGTATCTGCCATCCTTCCCCCCTTCTCTCTCTCTCTCTCTCTCTCTCTCTCTCTCTCTCTCTCTCTCTCTCTGTGTGTGTGTGTGTGTGTGTGTGTGTGTGTGTGTGTGTGGTCTTCGGGCTGTTCG